TTTGTGTGAATTGCTTATTTTAAGGCCTGTTTTTTCTTAACATGTATTGCATTGATTTGCAAGGAAACCAGTAATCAAATAGTATCTGAACTGTGAAATGCAATTTTGAATAGTGCACAAAGAATGGAACATATTTTAAAGGGAAAGCTTTACCTATTCAATCTTGACAACTTATATAATGGGGTGTATTTCTAAGTCATATCTTACTGTGTATTAATATTTAAAAATTCTTGTTGGAAACAGCCTAGGAATAAACATTTTTCTATCTCCCCGACATAAGATGACTATGTTAGGTTCTGTTCCCATTGAATGAATGGATGAAGAATCCTGTTCATTTCTGGGTAGTTCTATGTAAAATATTCACTTCACTGCTTTCTCCAATTAAGAGGTTAATGAAGATCTATCACTTTTACTAACTCTTGCTAACACATAAGACTTATGGGATATTGAATGATAACACACATTCCATTTTGTATATAATTTATTTAGAATGAATAATTGCAAGGATTATTATTATTAAAATGATTTTTAACTGTTCAGGTGCAGATGATTTTTCAGAAACTCTGAAGAGCAGTGACTTAATTTTCCCATTTTAATTAAATAGATTCTGCTATTGTGTAGGAAAGCTTAAGATCCAGTCAGTGTATCAATTATCTACAAGGCCTATTGATGCTACCATAAGGTGATTATAACCCAGAACAAAAATTGGACACATAATTGAGTACAAGAGTGATTTGTGCTGAGGATCATCTCCTTAATTTTAAATGTAAAAGCAGAATGAAACCCATAATTTAACAAAACTGAGTGTGATGCAATATCATATATGTCAAAATATGTGTTTCATAACATCAATACATAATATTTTTTCAAATCAAGATAATTCACACAAGGAAATTACATTTCCTTATCAAATGCTATCTCTGCATATTCATAAGTTATCTATGCATGAAAATGAATTAGTAGATTTGTAACATGTATCTGCATGAAAATCCAACCATTGCTTTAACTTTTCTCTTGTGTTTTGCTATTTGATTGAAAGCTGAGTGATGTTCTCTAGTACTGTAATTTGTATGCTTAGCCATAATGGAAAATGCCTGTTACTGTAATTTTGATCATTTTTTATATGAACGTATCATTTGTATATTAACGTATACTTACAAAATGGACTACATTTCTGCACGTTCCTAAATTGAATATTAAAAAAATTGTAATCTATCTGGAAAATTTTCTAGTTTGTCATTTCATTAATGCTGGCTATTTTGAGGGGTAGTTGTTAAAATCTATTTGTGTAATTCTTTCCATCTCTGCTTTAGGTCTCTTAGTGTTTGTGTAATAGAATAGGGTGTGATCACAGGGATAAGTATGGGGACAAAGCTTCTGCGGACTGCATATTTCTCCCCATATTGGTGCAGCTGAAATTGGGAACTGAGCATCTGTGACATAAATATTGCTAATCATCCACTATTCTAGACTACTGTATATTAATGCTCTATAACTTTGTACAAAAATATCAGACTTGGACAACTTTATTTTAGCTTTACAAGCAGAGGAAAAAAAAATATATTGGCATAAATATTTTGAATGAACAAACTTAAACACAAAATATTGGAAATCAGACCAAGGACTTTTATTGCTGCCAATTATTAATTAAAATTAATGCTTTTAAGTGTTTTCAGTTGGTTGTATTCGCTAGCAGTTATTGAAACTTAAATGTACATATTATTGTTTCCTGTATTAAATGAAAGTTGGTGTAATTTAATTATTGATTGATTTTTCTAAATGTACAAATCTTCTCATCTTCAGTTTTATGGTGTCTATTACAGATCTCCTTATTGAAGCAAAACTTGGAAATGCAGCTATCCGAGTCTCAAGCTTCCTTGCAGAAACTGCAATGCCAATTTAACCATGAAAGGCAACGTCTCACTCAGCAATTGCAAGAGATGCAAGAGGAACATAAACAGAGACAAATGTCTGTGGAGGATGCCCATCAAATTGCAATTAGGAAACTGGAGGAATCCAAAGAGAGGGAACTTACGGCAAGTTGTAATACTGTACTTGTTAAATATTGAATAATTAATTCTTGCTACAATCTTTTATTTGTGCAGTAAAAATGTACTTTCCTGTAATTTAAAAACAGTTTCTACCCTTTGTAAAATATGTTTTCTCCAGCCTTTCCCTGGGGAGTGAAACAAAAACACTTGTCCATGACCAGCCATACATTCTAACCACACTCTCTGTTCGCACGCCCCTCTCCATCTGCTCTACCATCAGAGGCTGAACCTTAAGACACCATAGGTTCCTGTCTTCAGGAATTACGTTTCAGGCACGTTACCACTCTACTCCCCAACCCGTTTTTAAAACTCTTGATCAGCTGTCTTCTCAACTGTGCCTTTGGCTGACTCTAAATTTCTCTGACTACTTCCTCAGGCTCAATGTGAGACATTTATTTTCTATAATGCTGCCATCTTAATCCAAGTTATCGTGAAATATTGGGAATCCTGTAGTGGGGTAAAGTTTGACCACTGAGGTCAAAATGGTTATTGTGGCAGCCTGGATCGGTTTCTCCCATTCTCCCTCTGAATCATGAGGCTGTGGGTTCAAGCCCCATGACATGGAGCTCATAGTTTAATAACCTACTCAAGTAGAGTTCTAGGAGTGTGCTGCATTATTTGATTTGCTATCCTTCAGAGGAGATAGATCCCACTGGCACTGTTCGAAAGGGAAGGAGATTTCATCCCGGTGTCCTGGCCAACAATCCCCCAAATAAATTAGTCATTGCGGTATGCAAATTGGCTGCCACATTTGCCTACAAAATACACTGTCACTACACTTTATCCTGTGAAGAGCTTTGAGACGTTGTCCTGACATGCAAGGTATTATATCAAATGTAAGGATTATTATTAAATTCAATACTCCTATTTATAAATCCCAGAACTTGATCTACTTGATTGCTTTTTGTACCTGCTGATCAACCTCTAGTGTATTTGTACTCCCAGGTGTATTCAATCCTCCACCCATTTGAGTATTTTGCTGTTCTGGTGATAATACCATTCCCTACTCTTTTCCTGAAAATTTGTACTGAATATCCATGATCTGTCACTTGCCTAACCAACTTTGTACCAGTTATTTGTACTGACTTCTTAAAGTTTTGATCGATTTTTACTGTTATGAATTTAAAGTCTTGACGTTGATCTTGATGTTCCAGTGTTTATGCTCCACATGAGCCGCCACCTAAACCCTGCTTTCAAATGTAATATTAATAATCGGCCCCTCTCTATAGTCTGTTTCTAGTATTGCCCTTTTATCTATTATTTGGCCACAAAATATACAGTCAATTCACTTTACAGTATATTCTGTGAAGCATTTTGAGACGTCTCAAAAGAGTGATAAGGCGCTATATCAGATGCAAGGATTATTATTATATTATTACATTCCTTTCTATTCCCCAGCCATAATGGGGAAATAAATACATACTATTCTTAACTTTGTTTTTCAGGAAATGGAAGAAGGCTTATACCAGCAACATATGGAAGAGCTGCAGTCATTGAAGGAGACTCACAGACTGAATATAGAGACTTTGCAAAAGGAAACAAGGCAACAGCTGCAGAATCTGAAGACTGAGTTGGAAGAAGAAGGGGTAGCGCTACTTGGTATGTATTGTCAATCTTCTCAATTTACAGTTCAGGTTTAACTATAATGTATAAAGATCCATTCTTGAGTATCTACCACAATACCACATGATGCAAATTTTAAAATATTTTAAATTATTGTGTACTCGCCTTCCATACATATAAACAATAAAGCAAGGTAGTATTTTAATTAATGGAACATTAATGAATAGTACAGAATGAGAAACGATCTTTGCATAATACGCTTCTAAGTGATGTCAGATCAAGTAATCCTTGTGAAATGTATAAAACCAACATCATGAATATATGGATTTTTAAAGGTAAGAGGACAAGTAGAAAATGTGATTTGGTTTTATATATGAGACATTGAAAATTATTTGGTTAAATTTACACAAAATGATTAGGATGCAGTAGGAGTATTGCATGTATTTCTGGGCACATCAATGCAGAAAGGATATCAGATTCAGTTAAATGATAACCTTAGTCTCACACAGATGATACTAAGGATGGGGTTATGCTAAATAAACAAACTGTTTTCACAAGAACAGAGAAGGTTAACAGGACATCTAAGCAGAGGTTTTCAGACTTCTGAGAGGTCTTAGAAGAATGGTAATTGTTTTGGTTTTACTTTACCTGATCCTTTGATTATTTTCCCAGTTTGTTTCAACTAGAAAATAAGAGCTATTTTATTGATCTCTCTTTTTAAATAGATTCAAATTAAATAAAGTTTTTTCTTCCTATATCCCTTTCTTTTCAAATAGAAACATACCTGAGCAATAAAGAAAATGTACCTATCATTTTATCATCAAATGGATCATATAATCAAATTTGTAGAATGTTTATTGCATAGACAGAGGCCATTGGGTCATTGCTAGTGCTAAATGGCGCACTGAAACAATCTACTTGAACCATTCTCTTTCAAATCTCTTCAGCATAACCTTTAATATTATTTTTGTTAGGTTTATCCAATTTCTTTTCAAACCTTATTTTGATGAACTCGGTTAACCCTGCAAGCCAAAGCCCTAACACATAGGGAGATCCTAGCTGGACAATCAGCAGAAAAGCTTGCCAAGCAGAAATATCAATGGCAAACTATGCGGTTTTAGCTGGTTAGACTCCAGGCTTACCCCAACGCACAATCTGATACTCTGGGGTCTCCACGCCTTAGCTCTTGCCAACCTCTGGAATTAAATAAACAGGATGTGCTCTCAAGAGGGAGAACGTGCATTCCATTCCAACAATCTTTCTCTGGGATTTCCGTGTGTCAATGGCATGTATGGAAATCTCAGCTTGGTTTGAATATTCTTAAGCATGGTCATGGTTTTTCACATTTGACAGACACCAGGCTGACCCCAAAAATATAAACTAGGTTCCTGGATTGGTCTCCAAACAAATGAGAGCATTGCTGATGCTATTGTATTCAGCGCCTTGGGACGTCCTCCCGACATGAAAGGCGCTCTATAAATGGAATCTTGTTGTTGTACTGTCTCTCCAGCATCTGTGCGCTCAGAGCTCAATTATCAACATGCTATAGCAATAGACCAGCTGAGTCAAGGCCAACAACAGGAACTGGCAGGTGCAAGAAAGGAGTTGGATTGGACCATTGATCTACACAGACTAAAGGTACCTTTATCTGTCAAGCGTTTTTAGAATATTTTTTTTAAGCACAGTTTGCATGCTATAAAAATAATTCTTGCATATCTGTTGCTCATCAGCACTGTAGGCATAAACCTACTAAACGTTTGCCAGTTATGTTATTATTCAGAGAAAATTAACTTTAGCTCAGCTACAACATTTCTTTTAGAGAGGAGTGGGATTTATCTTGTGGCATTGTCTTCAACAACAACAAAATTACATTTGTATAGTGCCCTTTACGTCGGGAGGCTGTCCCAGGGCGCTGGAAGCATTTTCTTAAAATAGAGAAATTCAATGAAGGGGCACAGCATGTACAAAGTACCAAGGTTAAACAGAGAAGGATAGATGAGAAAAATCAAAATTAAGGTGTCTAAAAGTGCCAGTACAGGGATGAATCAGGAAAACATTAGGGAAAATGTACAGTGCTGCACCAGAAGTAATCTTTAGTGGTATACTGCTATTGTAAATAATAGCAATAGATCAAAACAAATACAAAAGAAGCATGGCCTTAGAGTAAAGTAGACAAGGTATTGCTGTATGCACTTACCAATTTTGTTACAATATAGGAGGAGGAGTTGCTGGAAAGAATATCTAAGCTAGAAGAAGAAGCGCAACGCCGTGAGCATCGTATAAAGGAACTAGATGAAGAGAACCTGTCTGTGCATGAGAATCTAAATACATTGACCAAAGAACTCGAGATGAAAGGGAAAGAAGTTCTAAAAATACGGAGTGAAGCTAACCAGCAAATTAGGTAAAAGAGGGAGAAAAATTCTGTATAAAGTGAGGATTTTCTTTCAGTTATTTCTGTTCGTTTACCCTTTTATCTGTGAATAAAGTTAGAATGTATCTGTTTCCCACTTTAGGATGATAAATGTCAGTCAAATATTTTTTTTTAATGTTCTTGACACTTTATCAAGTAAGTTCCATCATAACCCAAAACAACTAATAATTAAAAAATGAAATAGAATGAAATAAGAGACCAATTGACAAGGTATTTTGTATTTTTTTTCTTTCTCATTCCCTCTAGAGCAATTGGCACTTTAAATTTTAATTTAATTAAAAAATTATCCACTATTTGGTGCCTCCCTGCAATTGAGCAGAAATTGGGAACTCAGTAATAGGGGAATAAACATTTATCCCCCCAGCTCTATAGTGTTTCTTATTCTTTAAAACGCCAGCTATATTTTTAATATTATAATGATTTGGGAATAGCAAAATAAATATCAAACGAAAGTGCCAAATACCAAAGAACTACCAAAGATAGCTGATGTAAGTTAAGAAACCAATTAGGAGTGTATTATTGTAAAATTGTCTTAACCTAGTGAGAGAGAGCTGGAGAAATGTTTACGTTCACTCTGTTCACGGTGTTTGTTTTTATAAACAGGGCTTATGAACAGGATATACATAAGAAGCAGGAGAAGGAGCTTAAAGACTTGGAAGCAGCCCGTATGCGAGAGATGCAGAGTATGCTAACAGAGTTTGACAAGGCTCAGGAACTCTTGAAGGAAAAAATCTCTGTTTCGGAACACATGTATGTGTATCTATCGTTTTACAATTGCAGCTTTTTACGTGGATAGCTCTAGTGTCAATTCAAGAAAGATAACTGACTTTTCTGATGCAATATTTGAGAAGAGATACAAAGAGAGAGAAATTATTGCAGTGGATGTTTTTAAACAAGATCTGCAGTTGACAGAAAATTCACAATAATCACCAAAGAAAGAATATGCAATTAGATCTGTAGTGGTATTCTGCTTAAGCTATTACAGGAAAGAATATGCGAGTTTAGCACACCAGAACACCTTAGCGCTGAACACCTCCTCTGGAACTCCTCCCATAACGACCTTAGTTCCTTAGTCACTCTCCACCACAACTCCCTCTGTGCTACTCTTGACACCCTTGCCCATGTCACCTCCTACACCACTTCCTACTCCTGCAGGTCAAAATCTATCTCTCCACCCTCACCTCAGTTAAATTATCTTTGTATTCCAAGATTATCTTGGAGCCTATGGACCAGGCTCCTCTTCTCCATCCCAAACCAGCTCCTTCCCATGTCTCACCTAACCTTCCTTTAACTCCAAATGTGAGGAGGTGAAGGACTTGCTCAAGTCCAAAATCAAAGGGATCCACTCTGCTGCCTCTGCCCTTTCTATGGCCACCTCCCTCTCCAACCCTAGCTTCCATCTATCCCTCCCTCCACACTTTGACCCCGTCACCCCACTTCCATCATTTCCCAAATGACGCCCACCACCTGCTCCATTAACCCCTTCAATACCCTCTACTTAACTCTCAGCTCCACCTCCTTGCCCCCTACTAATTAACATTATGGACTTCTGTCCATTGGCACTGATCACACCCTCTTAAAAACAACAGTCAGCACCCCATCCTCAAAAAAACTTCCCTTCAACCATCTCTCTTGTAAAACTATCAACCCATTTCCAACGATCCCTTCCTTTACAAGGTCCTGAAATGAGTTGTTGCTTCTCTCTTTCCTTTCCAGTCACTGCCTCTTTTCCTCCTGATTTGAAAGGCAGGCACTATAATGCAATATATTGTTGCCTTGAGTATGCCATGGCTTTGGATGGGAGGCAATAGACACTTTTAGTGCTATGTAGATCAGAATGATTATCTCTACTTAAATGTTCTTAATGTAGTTGACTTTTCTAGGTTGGAAGAGGCTGAGGAGAAGTACAGGAACAGAGAAGCAAGACCGGAGGATCTACAATTTATCAATGAGTTGAAGGAAATGATTACAGAACGGGATCAGCTTATGAAAAAACTAATGGTGCGTTTATATACAGCTTATATGCAGAAAGGATTAATAAATTAATATTATGTAGCTTCTTGTACTCTAGACTGTGTATAGATCTGAGGCTCAACAGATGTTGATAGTGCAATCAGTACATTTTCATTTATAAAGTCAGAATGCTGCAAAAATAACTGATTGCAAGAAATGATAAGCCGTATGAAATTAAAGTGTTTATTTTTCTTAAATTATGTTTTTCTGAAATGTTTCAATAAATATATTTAAATTATATCCAATAAGGATACATTTTAATTTTTAATGTCTTCTCAGGATGATAAGAAGTTTTACCAGCTGGAACTGGTGAATAGAGAAACAAATTTCAACAAGGTGTTTAATGCTAACCCCAATGTAGGAGTCATCAATCCCCTGGCAAAGGTGTGTTTCATAAGAGTCCTTGTTTCTTAGCTGCTCACAATCATTAAATTATTGTGGTCTGTACTTATTCTCTTTTAGATGAGTATTTGCGAGTCCTCATATAACATTTTAAATTTAAAAAATGCAACATCAGTGAATTTATTATGAATGTATCCTGTTTCTGTTAAATATTTCAGCAAAAGAAAAAGAATGATAAAATCGCCTCTCGGTTTGTTAGTGCCCCAAATCTAAGTGCTGTAGAATCTGCGGGTGTAGGAAATGGACAGCAGCAAAACAACCGCCTTGAACCAATTCCCAATTCCCCTGTTCACGATGTTGGGTTCAACAGCGTTAAGCCTCTACCGCAGCCAATACCTCCAAAAGAGACTAAACGATTTCTGAGGTGAGCATCCACCTGAACAGAACTGTTAAGGTGAAACTGATCCAACACTCCACAGCACTTAGTCATTTAATGTGTTTTGCCTATTTTAAAGAAAACAACTGCTTTGGTTAAGATTACGCTCTAATGAAATGTTTAAATAGTTCTGATTTTCTAGTATTTTAGGATGTCAGTGCGGCTCAGTTGGAATTGCTCCTCCCTCACTTCTGGGTTACAAGGTTGTGAGCTCAAAGCCCAATATTGGGTCTTAAGATTAATAGTCTAGACTGACAGTCTAGGGAAATGTCTAGTGAGTGCTTATCAGAGGCGTCCATTGACTTTTGGGATAGAGAAAAGATTTTTTTTTTGTGCCTATTTTAGAATTCCTTAGAATATTTGTGGAGTGCTGTAGCTCAGTGGTTAGAGCACTCGCCTCTCAAGCGAGAGACCTGGTTTGATTCCCAGCAGGGCGAAACCTTGGGCAAATTTCCTTACTCCACACGTCTAATAATAATCCCTCAAGAAAAAAAAAATGGTCACTTCAGTCCACTACTGTTTGTGGACTGCTGTGCGCAATTGGCTGCCACATTTTGCCCACAAATATACAGTCAGTTCACTTAACAGTATATCCTTTGAAGTGCTTTGAGACATCTAGAAGACCTGGAAAGGACTTATATCAAATACAAGGATTATTATATTATTATCAGATGAGACATTAAACTGCGGTCCTGTCTGTTTGTTAAAAATCCAATGATGCTGTTTGAAAAGAGAAGTTTCTCCTGTTGTTGTGGTAACAGTTATGTTAATTTGGTCATTCACTTCATGGCTGTTTGTGGGCTGTTGCTGGGTATAAATTGTTAGCTCCTTTTGCCTGTAGTCACTTCATTTTATAGCAATTTGCTGTGAAGTGTTTGAGACTCTTCAACTTTATAGATGCTGTATCAAATGCAAAGATCATTATTATATTATTTTTTAATGGTTTCCTAATAAGAGATTGAATTGTGCCAGTAGACATTCTGGGAACTGGAAGAATGTCATACTGCACACTACTGAACACTGTGCTGATAGTTTCAGTGATCTATTGATCAGTCCTACAATAACACTCCTGTATTATAAGCTGATACTGAAAAAAATATACTGATACTGAATTTTAGCATTCTGTATATGCATGCTTGGAGAATGACTAGAGCACCAACATTTGGTGCTTTGTCTTCAATAGTGTTACAAATGTATTGAGAACCTAGAATTTTGAAAGAATTGAAGAAGAAGCTCAATTTGTACCTGCTCGGTATATTCTTCACGGGGATGGATTTCGTCACTCCTGATGCCACCACCTCATCTAGGTAGTGCCAGGAGTTCCAGCCCAATTTATGGGGTTTAACTCTCCATTTAGCTGAACTTCTAGTGGTGAATAGCTGGTAAATTCGCAGTGGTTCACTGTCAAACATGCAGTGTAAAAGGAGCACCGACGTTCAATCCAGAAAATTCCAGAAAGAATTTAAGCTTATGAAATCAATATTTTATTATTTCATCTACCTTCACTCTCAGAACCCTTATGCAATATTTAAACACTAAGAATAAGTTATTTCTTGTTATTGATTTATTCCATGAATGTCTGTGTATTTCAGTATACAGTTTTCACAGAACTGCACAATAACTACTTTTGTTGAAAAACATTTGGTTGGATAGAGGAAAACATTGCATGACAATCCTGCAATTAAATTCAAATTTTTATCTCCAAAGAACAAAGGTTTCTTTAAGAAATAGTTGTTAATTGGTTAATTACGTTGTGAAGGTCTTCCCCAAGCTGTCATATCTAAGCCAAATAGCTCTCCTACCTTTGCATTCATTTTGCTTATTCACAGCTTTATCAAAAAAATTTGCTTAGGTGAATTTCAGCATTGGCTTTAGCATGTAAGCTGTCTCAAAGTGTAAAGTAGTGTCATTGCACAGAGGATAATATAACTCATCTGCTGCAAGGCTGTTCTCTTACCTAAATAGGCAGAAACATGCACCCCTACACGCACACACGGGTGGGGTGGGGTGGGGGACGAAAATCAACAAGGTATTGTATATTTGTCAATTTAGGGCAGGATGAGAAGACGAACTAGGGATATGTCCTGGATTCCCCTGCCTAACAAAATTCTGGTAAACGGCTATTCTGACTACTGATGTTGAGCAGGGAATCTACATGGGGAACAGCTGCTTGCAGTTATTGGGATCTCCAGAGTCTGCACATGAGTAAATTAATCAAGTCTCTGTTAGATTTAATGTTTCGGGTTTATTACACCAAAGATGGCAGACTCCCATTAGAAACAAAAAGCAGAGCTCCTGGTGGGTACACTGTACTACCGACTATTGTAAAAACATGGTTTTATGATTTCTCGTGATTAATTCATGGTATTACTGAATGAATGGGACGAGGGTGCAAAGAGAATGCGAGATGTTTTCCCAGCATAAGAAATGGCAATGTCCTAGTGAGTCATCCTAGGTATATAATATGATCGAGGGGTATGTGAGAACAGGGCTCCTTTCAGGGGATGGTGTTGTGAGTGAACTAAAAGAGAACTTGCTTGTTTCACTTGTGGGTTTGCAGATGATAGTACCATTTTCTGATACCATGTGGGCATGGTCCTTAAGTGCTCTCTCCCTGACTCCTTGGTAAATGTAATCACTTTCACTAAATACCAGTCATCTAGGTTCTTTGATGGAATAGTCCTTCAGAGGAAAATAACATTTGAAATGTTAGGATCTTTTTAAAACCAACCACATAAGTCGGCAAAGACATCATAGTGAATATACTCCCTGTAGCGTTCTCTTTCCCTCTAAAAGTGATGGATGAATAGTATCGGATGTATGTCACAGACCTTACTATTAGTTTTTTAAAAAAATTGATATTTAATGTTCTTCATTGTGTTTTTAAATTCCAGAACATTTGCTCATATTGATTTGTGTTTACGATATACATACTTGATTTCCATGTATAGGTGGGATGAATGGAACTCTGTTTGGTTTGGATACTCTTAAACATGGTGATGGGTGTCAGACTCCTGGCTGACCAAAATAAAACAGAATGTTTCTCCCTTTCTGTACAGTCTACTTGTTACTTGAAATTGTAAATCAGCAAGCAATTTCTTTAAATCTCTCCAAATTAGAATTTGAATTTTTCTAACTAATTATTTCAAGAAATATTTAGTTTGTGTGATATTTGTTACAAAGGCCACTGATATCATTATTTTCCTCTAAATTATCATTTATACTAAATGAATAAAATGCATGAAAAGGAAGGTTGTAGCTTCATTATTTGAAAACATCTGAGAATACTTTCAAATAGTTCATATTTAATTTGTTATTTTATATATATTCTTTGTCATGGTTTATTTTTGTGAATGTAATTCTTGTTTAAGTTTTTTTTAAATGAATTGTTATGTTGGGATTTATTTTGTGCATGTTAAAATCTGTATATTGCATGTATTTCATTGTATATTGCTTTGTTTAGTAATTACATTACTTGATGTGAAGCATGTCACTTTTAATTTATATTTTTTATATTAATAAATATGTTTTGCAAACTTACTGGTGTTTGGGTTCACTACCTTTGTCTATAGTATGTTAACCAATGCTTGTCAACAAAGTTTTTTTTATTGTACTCCTGTGTGTTTTGAAAACAAGATTCAAATTGACTTGCTTGTTAATACTGTTTGGGTGTTTGAGTTGTATTTTATCCTTCATTTAAATATTTTCTTTATTTTAAAGTTAAGATTCAGTTGATTGGTCAAATTTTGGCATTCACAAATGTACTAGCCTACTGGAGAAAGCGTTCATATTCCTGTTTTTACTTTTCTTCATCCTCCCCAAATCCTTCCAGTATTATGGTATTTGTCTTTCCACTCATCAGTTTCAACATTAAGTCAATAAATGCAATTTATTAATGCATTTTAATGAATTGAACCTAATAAGGGTCCCTTTCCGAATACTTTTGAACAAGGCTTTGACGTTTGCCATTTAAAATACTTTTCAAACTGTGATCACTAGAAATAAATCATTCGAGTTTTCTGTTACATGCACATCTATGTTTGTCACATCAGTAAATTAATGCTACAAAAAATCAAGATAAAGATACTTAGGTACTGAAACTTACTAAGATTATTTGCAAAACCAAAGTTTCAATGGCATCTTAATCATGGTTATGATCAAAAACAAAATCTATAATATTGAACCTGTATTAATTTAAAGAAATCACAGCCAGCAGAGAAAGGAGACTTTTTCCAATCATCCACCTCACTCCATTGAAAAGATGTGACAATTTAATGTCACATTTTCTGTATAACTAAAATCAGAAATTCTACCAGTTGCTTCAATTGCTTTGTTAACTAAGAGACCAAAAACTACAAGATCATCACTGATGGAGGTTAGTGCATTGGGAAGCCAAATATATTTCTTTGTTACTTTCTGGTAGGACAGTATGTGTAGAATGATCACTTCTTGAGTCTTTCACGTTCTGCTGCAAACACAGCCAGTACAGTTTACAGTAAATTTTGTGAAGCCCTTTATTACTCCTGACATGAACAGCGCTTTATAAAATGCAAGAATTACCATGATAACTTAGATAGGATTCCTTTTGAAACTAGTTTTATTACAGCAGGTTGGTGCAATTTGCATACCTTCATCAGAAATTGTCTTCATCTAACAGCGTAGGAGACTCCAAGCTAGGGGGGATTTGTGTATTCAGAGGAGGCAGCCATGATCTTAGAAAGAGAGTTGAACGGGGTATTCCACCTGGGTTGAACAGAGTATAACTGTGTATACACCTTTGCTAATCACTAGCAAATAAAGTTCAATACAGGTCAATGCAAGGTATTGGGGTATAGGAAATAATAGTAGCTGCATTTACTCCACGGATGGGATAGCATTTATCAGGAGAGATCTAGGGAGTGTAAGTTGACTGCTCACCAATCAGAACGCCATCCTCTCCTGCTAGATACTCCCTGAGCCTATCACCCTCTATCCTCGCTCAGCTCCATTAGTACCCTGTCCCCCAGTGAAATGAATTCAAGATACTCGTCCTCTCATTAAAATTCCTCCATGCCCTTACCTCACCCTACCTCTGTGACCTCCTGCAGCGCTACCAACCCATCCTTGTTTCATGTCTCCTGCTAGATCTACTTTGACTCCATTCCGGAGTCTCTCTAACTTACCCTCTTCCTACTAACTTTCGAAGCCCACCTTAAGGATTGCCTACTTGGCCAGGCTTTCTCTCCCACCATCCGCAGCTCCTTTCTCCCCTCCTCCTAGCTCAGGTACCCAGCCAGCTGTGTAAAGTGCTTTGAGATGTGCTCCCGATGTGAAAGCTCCTTTATGAATGTCAATTGCATTGCATGTTCAAACTGAGGTGGTAAAAAGTAATATAAACAGGAGGCTGAGCTATATTGCCAACTCTATTGCCAAATAATATAATAGTAATTATATTATCAACACTTAAGGTGTTGATAATGTCATTATTATTATCCTATCTCTCAGTTGAATTTAGATCCTCAAGCTATACAGTTCCCTGTTATGCCTCATCAGGAATAGTTATACATGAATGGGCAGTCCAAACATTTTTTAAAAGATAAATTGCTCTTTTTAATCCTCAACGATTGATTTATTCGATAAAGATCTATTTCTCTGTTGAACAAAACGCAAAATACTGCAGATACTGGAAATCCATAGATCAGTGTCCTTCAGTTGACCTGCTGAGTATTTCCCTGTTGATTTTGTGGACACTTCCTGCTTCCATTTTGGATAATTAATTCTGGTCGCTGTGACCTCAGTTGCAACCAAGGTCTAGAGACAAAATGTAGCAAAATGAGACTGGTACACCGTATTCAAGGTTGAGTTCTTGGGAACAACTGGATAGGATCAGGCTCTTAGAGTCCTGTAGCTCAGTGGTTAGAGCACTCGCTTTGCAAGTGAGAAACCTGAGTTCAATTCCAGACAGGGCGAAACCTTGGGCAAGTTTCCTTACTCCAGACGTCTAATAATAATCCCTCAGGAAAACAAAACGATAATAAATTGGTCATTTTCAATCTATGACTGTTTGTGGGACATTGCTGTGTGCAATTGGCTGCCGTGTTCGCCCACAAATATACAGTCAATTCACTTTACAGTATATTCTGTGAAGCGCTTTGGGACGTCCTCCCGACGTGAAAAGCACTATTTCAAATGCAAGGATTATTATTATTATTATTAAACCTTGAAAGTAAACATTTCAGAGAGGAATTTGTGGAGGTGGATATGATACTATAGGCAAGAATAAATCCACAACAATAATTTCCAGTACATCAAAGGAACAGAACAAGAGGACATAAATTCAGGATTGTGAAGAGAAATTTAGGATACACGGCAAAAAACCAATTTATGTCCCATTATGTCTGTGCTGGTTCTCTTAATCCTTTCAGCTGGAATCAGTTACAAAGGTAATTGTGCCAAGATAGTTCTCCTCCGATATGGCTTGAACGTACAGAACATACTAATATTTGTACGTAAAGGCTAAACGGATGTTAGGTTAACTGTAATCAGTATGATCTTCCTTATTGGCATACAACAGTCACTCAGCCTCACTTCTCTGTCTGGTTGGTGCTGCTTGTGTTTCTGTTAAACATTTTTGCTTTTATGATTGAGATCTCAGTATAACTCTATCCAGTCAGAATTAAGGATATAACGACAGGGGAAATGCAATTTGCAAAGTGCAATTCTTTTCTTCACTGCTTCCTTGTATATAAAAAAAACTCCCTAACCATGCCTTTAAATTCTATTGCTTATGCTGGGTGCTCCTAATTATCTCTGTGAAGTGAAGTGCATCTCTGTGAAATGTTCCTGCAATACACTATTTTAGTGCAAGTTGTTGGTTGATAGCAGCACCTACTTCTATGTGGAGGCTGAACTTTCAAAGCATAAGGAAGTGCGTACTTACAGCATACAATCTAATAGTATCTAATGACTCTTGAACTTTCACTGATGATGTATTCAGGCTTATAGGCCATTGTTGAAATCTTACCTAAACTATTTTTCTCCAAATATAGTCCTCCCCAGACGGAAACCCCTCCAGAACCGGTCTCGCCGTCTGATCCACAGCCTCAGGAATGGTTCGCAAGATACTTTACATTCTAAGTGTTCTCACATCTGCTAGATCCTTCAACATAATCTAGTCATTCAATACAAGCATGTTTCTGTAAGAATCTACGCTGAGCACATTTTGAATATATTGTTGTGAAGGGCAACTTACAGTGTTTGTACTGCTAGCCACGGGGAAATCCTCTTATTCACTTCAGTCAGGTGAAGAAATGTCCAGGAATAAAAATATCTTCTGTTTCTGTGAACATAAAATCATTTTTTTTCCTTCAGCCATATATTAAATTAATGTATGTCTCCTTGTATCTTACCCTATTTTTAAGTAAGATGCTGAGCTGGTCTTCCTCGTCTGTAACTAGCCAATAGAGCATTCTGAGGAGATTTGATGCTCTCATTGCCCTTTAAGGAAGATAGGCTCTTGGCTTCCCTATATGAGAAAAGGCTTTGCACCTCCAGAGTATGTTACCATTACAAAATATTCTGTACAAATATGCAATATGATGGGAATATAATGTTTGAGTAATACTTGTATTTAGTTTGTTCTTTACTGTGGATGCCTCATAGTCTGATGGTTTGCATCAATTGCTAAATAAAATAATACTGTAATGCACGTGTTTTTTTATTTCTTTCAGAAACATGATTAACCTTAGATTTGAAAATCACAAGATTTGTTAAAAAAAAATTCCCACGTGGGTATTAGAATTCCACACTGTCGTACTTTGTAGGAACATTTTGTTTTAAAATTCAAGATGAGCAGAATTGGGGAAAATTCTTGCACTGAATTTTAATTTGGAAGTTTTTTTTTAAAAGAAGTGCAGAAAACAGGCTTGCAAATTCAGACTGAATTTAAGAATTTTCCACAATTCAGTGTAATGTTAAGTCTTAAGACAAGCTAAGACTGGGTGAAATTTTGGCCACCTAGCTTCCAACTCACATATACTGTTTATTCATTTCAGCTCCAGTTGGAGCAGGTGGAGTAATATACTGTTCACAATTGAGTGTTATGCAAATGTACTATTATTGAAATATTTTTTTCAAAAAATATAGCAATTGCAAATTGTGTCAGAGCTTGTAAGGTGACCACCTAGGTTTCATGCAGGCTGAATAAAGAACTATGACAATCTATGCAGGTTGAATCCTTTCTATTTATTTAAAATACACAATATAAAATGTATGCTTCAATAAGGGTATAAAGAAATACAATTGCAACCATTGTATATGCCTCATTTACTTTTATGGTTATCATTTACATAGAAACCCGTGTATATGTGGCGGCAGTTCACATACTGAGAAATGTTGTATTTCTTAAAAGATTTCTTCATAAGTAATAACTAATCATCACATTTCTGGAACACTCATGGAGAGAAACACTAAATTCTGTTAAGAACTACAGGAACTTACTTCAAAGTTAAAATTAAATTTAGCAATTTGCTAAATTCTGATCCTTTAACATGTTACATAAATACAGTAAACCTGGACCCATGTGGAATCTCTTATTCAACGTGCTGGAAAATAATTCATAATTTATAAAAAAAACTATAATTGCATAATTCTTATTTTAAAAAATCTATCCCACAAAATACAGTCAATCCATTTTACAATATATTCTGTGGCGCGCTTTCAGACGTCTCAATGACGTGATAAGGAACTATATCAAATACAAGGATAATTATTATTCCATTGTGGGATTCATGTGAAGAAACATTAGCACAACATTGATGGGCTGAATGGCCTATTTCTGTGCAAGATATTCTATGGTTCTTGCTCTATTAAATTGTTGAAATGATTCATTTTTTTTATTAAAAATAAAGAAGAAAATGCACAGCAAGTGCACTATCAACATGTGAAGAGAAAATTAGGTTTATATTCCAGATGTCACCATTCATCCAAATAGTTATTTTTTAAGTGTGGTTAAAGGATCCCTAAGTAATCTCTGTAGTCACAGAGCTATTATTACTTCATCTCTAGTCATAGGCCGATGATCACTCTAATCTGCCTGTCATTGATGCTGAGACTTATAGCAAGTTGGAGCAATCCAGTTTAGAGAAAATCATATTTCATAGTATGTTTGCTGATCTGCTAACTGCCCGCAGTCTGTGTGCTATAGATCACTACCCCCCTCTTCTGGCTGGAATCATGTCAGTGCAGTCCTGTTTGTGAAACAGGAGTGAATAATGGGTAATAGCAAAAACAGGACTGAGACAATGCATCTATGGCATCTATCACAATTACACAATTGGCTTTGACTTATTCTTGCCCATACTTTAATTAACACCCAAAAGTAACTACTCCACGAATCTGAATAGCTTGTGCTGATTACTGTAGGTGCAAATGATAGCCCAGATTTGGCTGTACAAAAACAGTGAAACTCTCACTCACAGACTCTTAAAACAAAACATCAAATAATCTTTCCTAGATTGTGGGTTATTTACCATATTAGATTTCTTTAATTCTTACAAATAAATTAATGTTTATCCACAAAACACATATAGTTACTGCGTTTTACAGTATATCCTGTAATGTTTTTTGGGACATCCAGCATAAAAGGTGCTATAATAAATGTAACGATTATTAATATAATGTTTGGAGATCAATACAGGAACCTGGTTTATATTTTTTAGTCAGCCGGATGTCTGACACATACAGAAACCAATCTTTAACAGTATCCAAAGCAAACAAGAGTTCCATGCATCTCACCTTTACATGAAAATTCCAGAGATATGTATTGGAATAGAATAAACATCCAATCCCTGAAAAGACCCATCCGTTTAATTTAGGAGAGTATTCGATGCAGGTTGGCAAGAGCCAAGGCTTGGGGACCCAACGGTGTGATTTAGAGTGCTAACCAGCTTGCAATTGAAAGTATTGTCTGGCAAACTTTCCCGCTGCTTGTCCAGTTAGAAATAATAATAAACAATAAATAATAATCCTTGCATTTGATATTGCACCTTCGAGACGTGGTAAGGCGTATTTTACAGGTGTATGGTCACCTCCCCTCTCTTCCCAGCTTAGCATCAAGCTCTGCCATTATTAAGCACTCTGAGATGCTATCCTGTATGAACGGCATTATATAATTACATTTTTCTGACCCCAACTACCAACTATTCTTTGAACCCCTCCAATCCGGCTTCCGCGCTGCCCATAGTACGGAAACAGCCCTGGTCAAAGTCACTAATGACATTCTGAACATCTGTGATCAGGGCTCCCTCTGCCTCCTTGTCCTCCTTGACCTCTCTGCCGCCTTTGACACTAGCGCCCACTCTATCCTCATACACCGCCTCTCCTCTTTACTTAATCTTCGCGGACTGCCCTTGCCTGGTTCGATTCCAATCTCTCTCACCGTCTCCATTTTGTTGCCTCTAACGGTTTCTCCTCCAGACCCCGCACTGTCACGTCTGGCGTCCCCCAGGGCTCTGTCCTTGGCCCTCTCCTCTTTAATATCTACATGCTCCTCCTTGGTGACATCATCCGCAGACATGGTGTCAACTTCCATATATATGCGGATGACACCCAACTCTATCTTTCTGCCTCCACCCTCAACTCCAGGACCACTGCTGTCCTGACAGACTGCCTATCGGACATCAATTCTTGGATGAGGGTAAATTTCCTACAGTTGAATGTGAACAAGACTGAGGCCCTCCTGATTGGCGCGCGCCAGTGCCTCAGCACCTCAGGCTCTGGCAGCATCAACCTCCATGGTTGCTCACTGCAACTCACCATGTCAGTCAGGAACCTAGGTGTCTTGTTCGAAACTCAACTGTCTTTTCTTCCCCACATCCAAGCCATGACCCGCTCTGCCTTCCCTCACCTCCATAACATCGCCCGACTCCGCCACTACCTCACCCCTCAGGCCGCTGAAACTCTTTTTCACGCCTTCATCACCTCCAGGCTCGACTATGCAAACTCCCTGCTTATCGGCCTTCCCAACTCCTCCCTCCACAGGCTGCAGATAATCCAGAACTCTGCAGACTGTGTCCTCTCCCGCACCAAACTCCGTGACCCCATCTCCCCCATTCTCGCCCAATTCCATTGGCTCCCTATCCTTCAGAGGATCCAGTTCAAGATCCTGGTCCTCACCTACAAAGCCCTCCATGGCGTCGCCCCACCCTACCTCTGCAACCTCCTAAGCCCCTACCAACCCGCCCACTCCCTCCGCTCAGCTGGCTCTGGCCTGCTCCACATCCCCCGGCCCACCTGCCACACCATTGGCGTGAGAGCCTTCATTCACTCTGCCCCCAACCTCTGGAATTCCATCCCCCAATCACTCAGCCTTGCCCTCTCCTTAGCCTCCCTCAAGACCCTCCTCTTCGACCATGCCATCGGCCACCCCCCTTCTCCCCTCCCTTCTCCCCCACTGACCCCAGCTCAGGTCTGAAATGCTATACACTGTCCAGCGCCTTGGGACGTCCTCCCGACGTGAAAGGCGCTATACAAATGTAACCTTGGTATTGCTGTTGTTACCTGATCTGCTGTGTGTTCTCAGCGGCTTCTGCTTTAATACCAGATTTCCAGCATCTGCAGAACTTTGTCTTTTGTTATGCTGTAAAGTGAATTGACTTTATATCTTGTGTCTCGTTTTATTGGAGTCCTGACATATACAGAACTTCACACAGAGGCTGATTGACAGCTGGAGTGGGTAACCAGGGAGGTTTGTTCAGACCGGGACATTGTTGGAGCAGCTTGATGCTGTAATGTATTCTGGAAAGATGAAAACAAGTCTTTCTTCAGATCATGAAATTGATCTGCTCTGCCACTTCTAATATTGTGCTTAACTTGGTTGATATTTACTAATTATTATTATATTTACTAAAAACTTTCCAGTGACTTATCGATAACAACACATAGTCCTTTTACTTGAACAAATAAGCTCAGTGAGAGAACCATAAAGAGTATTTCTAAAGTGTGCACTTTTGGAAAATAGAGTCCAACTTTTGCAAGAAAATCTCATGTTACTCAAGCAACAAAAACTGGATCATCTGTGTAATGTTTAGAAAGATATTATCAGTGAAGTGATTCCCTAGTTGGCTGTTTGCACATCATAAATGGACACACTGCAATGAGTCTTTCACCCTCTTCCAGATGATTAAACCGTATCCATTTGTGGAGTCTCCTGAACGGGTCGAATTGAAACTGGCTATGTTCGTGTGGGAAAAAAAAATCCTTTAGCTCATTGAACAACTACAAGAAAAACATAGTTTTCAGTCACACTGAGTTCTTAGAGTGATACATCGAAGTTACAAAAGCAAAACTACAGATTTGCAGGTCTGAATTGCGATGTGTAAGATCAGTAAAGTCAGGCAGATTTCCCTCAGACAGATAAAATAAATTCCAAACTCTCTACTGGCTGCTATTAATTATATAAGAGATTAGCTCAGTCAACCTCAAATCTACCGCCAATAGGTTCATGTTCAAGCAAAACTCTGTTTTCAGATTTGACTGAGACTGGCTTTGGTATGTAATATCACTCATGCAAGAGGCCATGTGGCATTTGTATTTTGCTTAAGTACTTTATCAGCTTTCTTAATTACAACAACAACTTGAATGTATACAGAGGCCTTCACCTGGAGTAGCAACTCAGAGCGCTGAATAATGCCAGAGTTTGACCCCGAGCAAGGGAGAAAGAGAAAGTGACTATAGTTGAAGAAGAAAGGGTTCAGGTGCGATTTGAAGAAAGGTAAAGAGGGAGCAAGGTGAAGGGATTGAGGCAGGGAGTTCCAGAGATTTGGGACACAGTGGCTGAAGACATGGCTGCCAATGGT